TTTGCCGCTTTAGATCACTCCACCAGGTATTATGCGATGATCTCTCTTAATGAACGGTTGGCGATCTATAGCCTTCCATCTGAGCTGGTGTCACCTCGTGGCACAAGCATGGGTGGGCCCGACCACATAACGTGCAATCTGCATTGATCGCCTTTCGTTGATCGCCAACACGAACATAGGACTTTGGAGTTGCAGACCAACCTAATCCCATTTCAAGTGGATCCAGCTCCATATCAGGGAACAACCAAATGGCAGAGTCTCGGAGCTTCAAAGGGATGAATGAATCCGTGCTCAAAATCAATTAGACCACTACTCTGGGATACCAGCAGATGTTCATTGAGCTTAAAGCCAAAGTATGACGTCCAGGAGCTCGCACATAAGACGCAACGGCGGGACTCATCGAGGTCGGGAAGAACAGGCAAAGCTTTCATCCAGTTGGACCTCTGTCTACACTTGACGGTCCTAGCCTCCAAGCCCAATGCGTCAGTTGACCCAGCTATTGTACATTCTGCCGCGGTTTTGACTCACGTAAATGGAAGTTTTACGTTTCGTGGCAGGTTTTTCGGACAAAAACTTTTGGTTAGGATTATCTGCTATGCCCAATCATTAGAGAGGGTTGACCGCTACCGTGGCTGTATATCACCGTGCGCGTATAAGGTAGTGTTATCAGCATAAAATGAGATATTTTGTCGAAATGGTCTGCTATTATTTCGATGTGAGTCCATATCCATCCCAACATACCCTGGTTCCACTGGCCAATGCCAGCCCAATTTAGTTATTCTGTTCGGCATGAGCTTTTTCTATCCCACAACATAGGAAGCACGTACTGCGCTACGGATATTGCGGAGACGAAAACAAGAACCAACAATCGTGCCATTTCACGCCAGGGTTTCAGATGATTGTCCCGAAGGCTTGTATTATGTGAGCTTTGACGGTGATCCTCTGGCTGTGCAGCAGTTTGAATGGGAATTTCTGATTCCAGAAAGGGACTTTCTCCGGTACTCGCGTTCCCGCCGCAAACTGAATATTTCTCTGTCTATCTCTTTAATAATGCCGCGAGATCGGTCCATAGAAGCGACCAAAATGGCTCCTTCGCGCATCCACCGCGCCAGGCGAGCTTCCTCGGCCTCTCGCCGTCGATATTTGGTCTCAATCCGGTCGCAAAGGCAGCACTTTGTACTCTTTGTTTCGGTCTTGTTGACTAGTTTGATGCCGCATGTCTCACCGATACGGTACTCATAGATGCAATGGTGAGCAAAGCTAGTCCAGCTCCAGTCTCCGCATGAGAATTGTTTCTGATTGTAGAAACACATGTCTAGCAGATTTGTTAGTGCCTCTTCAGTCATAAGGTCCGATCAAAAGTCACTTGCTCTGGAATATTCGGAGAAATTTTCCAAACTAGGCAATGGACCTGTAAATGGCTCTTATCTGATCAATTCTCAGTCCACATCCAACCCACTTCATGAACTAGGATTGAATTGGAAGAGTCAATAACCCAATATGTTATGCGAGGATTGTCCTTGAAGTGAGATAGAATACCGGGTTTGCAAGTATGTATTGCTTATAACAACGCAAGTCAATTATAGGAATGCTAATGGTCAAAAAAGGCGACGCCAGCAACCAATCTTTGACTAAGAATTCTTGCTCAACTCAATCCATTTAACCTGCTCCTATGCAGTGCACCAATGCGCAAGATCACATCGTTGGGAAACCGCTAGGGTCTATGTAACCATCGCACCGGGTGATGTAGGCCTCGGAAACCATATACAGTCCCCAGAGGGTCAAGATAATTCCAGTCAGTCTCCGGGCACGCAGCCCGTTGATGGTTTAGCGTATCGGGGAAATCGGAATTTGACCCGGCTACGCACTAGCGACCAAGTATTTTTCTCAGGGTACCCGGTCCTTGCCAAGTAACCCTACCCCCTTCGGGTGTTGGGTTACCACACCGTAATGTAAACTCTTGCTCAATGTAAATTTTAAAGAACGCATGAAATATTTTTGTATTTTTCTCAACGTACAACGCCTATAAAAATCTAAAAAAAATCCTAACAAATACTCAAATAGTAGATATATCATCCATTGGTGAAATCCATGAAATAAAACGGGGTGCTGGGGTTGGTGTATCCTCCGTAGTTAATGGCTTCGAAACCCGCTTTTTCAACCGCCTCTCTTCTTGCACCTGCTCTTTCGATTCTCGGGCCCGGATAATTCGATTGGCATCACCAGCAGTAAGGGGGCCCCCTAGGTTGATCTGGCGCTTAGTAATACGGGCATCTCGGTGGACTTTATGGCGTAACAGGGTGGTATTGTCCTTAGCAAGCTGCGTAGCTAGCTCCGCTGAAATTCGCGCACTCCGGCATAGTAGCTTTGCTCGATGCTGAATAGATGCATAAAGCTCGCTATCTAGCAATTCGATATCTGCCTCCAATTTACGCGTACTCTCGTTTGTACGAGAGATTCCACGGGGTGGTGAATTGGTAATAGAGCTAGGAAAATCAACCTCTGATCCGTCGTCTTCACCAAAGACAACTAGATCATCCCCGTAATCCATAACTTTTTCAAGCGGATTAAGCACCTTTTCATAGTTAAATGGGGAAATGCCACAATTAGCAAATCCCGACTTAATTACTCGGGTGGTGAGAGCATTGCGAACAGATACAATTTCTCGAAAAAAATCCGCTTTTCGGTCCACCGATCCACCCCATTGAACAACAGCGTTGTTATTAGACTGGTAGCAATGCTTTAAAGCAAGAAAAGGCTTGCTATCTAGCGGCTGGCAGATATGCGTCGTATGGGGTATAAAGCAATAGGGGATAATGCTATTCTCCGCTGCAAAATTGATGAATTCTGGAGTACGGTGGGATCCATGGTTATCCATTAACAAAAGGCGTTTACTACCCCGAGTAGTACGATCCTTAGTTGCTAGATGAAAAGCGCGAAGCCATTGAACTGCAGTTTGATCTGTAGTATACCCACATGGTGTAGTTACTAGGGTATAATCCTCCGGAAGGTTGGTATCTTTATACCAATTCTCCATATGGAATTTACCCCTAACTAGGAACCAAGGTGCCATCTTCCAGCCATCGGCAGCAATACATTCAATGCCGGTAATACCCTCAGCAATACCTCCATTTGGTGAAAATAGAGTCTGGCTTTTTGAAACGACTTTTTGAGGCTTTCCTTGGCCAATTTGGAAGCCAGTTTCGTCGAAGTTGTAGATATCCCGCTGGCTTAATTTGTTGCTTTCGATATACTGGTTTAAGCGCTGGTACCAAGTAGTAAGATAGCCAATATTTTCAGCCTCCATCCTCTTCTTTTCCTTTGGTTTTTGTTTTATAAACTGAAGGTTATGGGTAGGTGGGATACGTTTTAAAAACCGGTATACCCAGTTTTTATCAACCGGCGGACGCGACGTGTTTTCTTCCGCATTGGCGCGTTGAATCATTGAATTAGCGCACCCTTCTACCATTCTAGCAGTTGGTGGAGAGCAAGCATCATCTAATATAGTGATCCAGCTAATTAGGGCTTGCTCTTGATCCGGATTTAATGTCGAATTGGTAGGACGGCGCGTCGAACGAGAACCCCGACCGTGAACCCGGTTATACAACAGATTGTAAGGAACGTCGAATTCTCGCGCCAATGGGGCTATTTTTGGTTTTTTTCGAGCATGCCATGCAGAGAGAGCATTTGCAAGGGTATTCTCCAAATCTGGGTTTTTTTCCGGCATGTTGGTAGGATGTAAAATGGTAGTAAAAATGGTGGGTGGTGTAAAATTTACATTGAGCAAGAGTTTACATTACGGTGTGGTAACCCAACACCCGAAGGGGGTAGGGTTACTTGGCAAGGACCGGGTACAACCAAACGATGGACAAACCCAAAGAATTTGCTTTTATTTCCTGCCAGTACGGCGTATCGGGTAGTGCGGATAGTAGGAGCTTCTCAATGAATGCCTTTGGCTAGTTTCCACATATCCTGAAATTGTTGTACCGAAAATGACCCGGCTGCGGCAGGTCCCGACCGTTTCGATCACCGTCAGCGCCTAAAGATTGGACAGGCCGCTCTAACTTTGGCCCCCACGCTGGAGCCATGGATCGTCGATCATACTACGGAGATTGAAAGTAAAGGGCTCCCTGCCCATTTCCGTTGGCCAGCTCCCTATGCTCGTGGAAAGTCTCTCGAAATGCCTCACGTTCTTGATTTCCCACCTAAATACTTTTGGGTAGTCAGGCTACTCGGCCATATTCATGAAATGCTTCCATCTGTGCGGTGTTGCCTTTCCAGATCCCCAGCTCAATGAAGGCGATTGGGGCCGAAAACAGAGCAGGCACTGAATCTCAGGGGTAGACATCAAGGTGTCGCTCCACCGTACGCGGACCAGGCCCCGCCCGGCCAATCCAGATCAACGTCAAAACCCCTGCCCTATCGTCATTTCGCACTTCTGTTTGTCTTGAATCCTTCGATAACCTTGCACTCGTAGAAACTTCTTGGTTAGGATTAGTAGGGTATCGAAACCCTTGGTAGGTCTTGGATCCTATTCGTGTTAAATGATTGGAAAAGGCAGGAGGGAAGGGTCAAAGGTGGCGGGCCGAATTAGTATTTCTTGCATCCACGTAGATCAACAAAGCCTATTATTATCCACTCAGATCGGTTGTGTCGTAATGTGTACGATATGATCGGCAAGTGATTGTGTGCCATGGATTTCACTCATCTTTCCATCCTAAGGCTTTGCTGGTCAGCTAAGATGTCCTGCAATTGGTGATAGCCATCTTCAATTAGCGTTCTCCGTTACTGCCAGACGCTTGGTCACGCGACGAAGGGGTGATGATTGGACAGAATCTTGATAATCCTTATAGTGAGCACGAAGTCTTTTCACAACATACTCGTCCCCTCTGTGGTCGATCTGACCTCTCATAGTTTTCAATTAAAGCTTCAGCTGGTAAGCAGCTCGGACCAAGAAAGAATAACCAATTGCTAATATCACTCGACTTCCATTCATGAAATTATTGCTGAATATTATCCTGCCCCTCCCTATCCATATTGTCGACTTCATCGCAGTTTTGAGTGCGAAGATGTCGAATTTCAGAGGTCAACTCATCGCAAGTATTTTGGAGTCTTTCATTCTCTTTCTCGAGCTTCTCGCAACGATTATCCAAAGTCGTAGCAAGAGACTCGTTCCTCTGAATCCAGTAGGGACACTGTGAGTGATCAGATTCCAGTTCATCGTAGTCTCTTTGAACTCTTGCCAATTTCCCTCGAGTTTCTGCGAGTTCGGATCTGAGCCTTTTATTTGAATCCGTAGTGGTGTCGATCAAATGGTCGCAAAGCTGGTGGTCCTCGATTGTTCCATCGGACTCCTAGCAGGGTTAGTTTGTCTTCTAGGAGGGGACTAAGGGTGAAGTGCCTGACTCACCGAAAGAATGGTGTCGATTTCACGTTGGAGACGTCGTCTCTTAACTGGTCGCAAATCAGTCAAGTTTCGACTGGACATGGTTGCATTTGGCATTATGTCAAGCCAGATAGAATATGGAGAATGAGGCAAGAAGACAAATAAATTGGCTACCTCCCGACTAGTTCTTGTGGTTGCAATGGCCACGACAGGAGGGATGCCTTCGGAAGAACAAACTTTTCAAATAATTGACTTGCAGTCAAGCCGACGCGATTTAAAAGGGGCTTCTTGCTTTGATTTTTTAGCCCCCAGCCCGGAAAATACGGTTTGACCATTTGAAGTCTAGCGTGTGCTCAGACGCTACGGGACCGGGCATGGTCCGCGCGCGGTGGAACCCCCGATGTTTACCCCTGAGATTAGGTCCTTCCCCTCTGTCGGGCCCCATCGCACACTTCTTGGGCTAGGCATGTGATGATGACAATACCGCACAAATTGCAAAGTATCGCTGAGTAACCTGAATGACCAAATAAAGATTCCGGTGGGCAGACCAAGAATGTGAGGCATGAGGCGACTTTGAACGAGCATGAGGTCTGGTGAGGGGGGCAGCTCTTGATTCACCAATCTCCGTAGTTTGACAAACCATCCATGGTTCCAAAGTCAAAATTTTAGGAATCGTAGAAACTTAGCCAATCGGAATTAAGAAGCTCCTACAACATGCGGCACCCGAAATAGTGTCATAACGGCAGGAAGTAATGCCGCGAAAATGTATCAAACATTGACTAGGATTATTGAGCGCCGTCCGCTGCCATGTTACATTCCAAAAAAAATTGATTTGCAAAATTGCATCAACCTTCGCTTGGGGATCCGACCGGAGGAGTTCCGGGCATCATTGCCGATTGACGGGAAACTAGCCATCAATGAGGGGGGAGCGGCTGAGGCTGTCTGCTTTTCCCTCCTCTTTCCCTGCCCTGTCTTGCACAGCATTGTTGAAAATGCCCTAAGACCAACGCATTAATTGACACCAGGTTAGTGGGAATGATGCTGCCAGCGCCCTGGTTTCCCATGGTGCAGCCTCACTATCACGCGGGAAACAGCCCGAACTGCGAACTCCCACCCGTGCAGTCGGTGACGTCGTGCGCATTCCCGGCTCCGCTGAGCAGACCAAATAGTGGCATGCAACAGGCTATTCTATTACAGCCCTTGCCACAACATTCATCAGCTGCGCCAGCGACATCGCCATACCAGCGATTCTACGATTCCGCCTCAGGCTCACCCGCCGAGGGTGGCCCAGTCTCAGATGCGCCGCCATTGGGGCCAGCCCCGGGCAGGCTCTACCAAATTCAATCCTGTTGGCCATAGCCAACCGCCAACCACGCAACTACAGCGGAAGTGCGCACATCGCCAGCGTAGGGAGGATCCTAGTTGCGACGCTTGTCGCGAGCGCAGGGTCCGCTGTCAATTCACCAAGGAGACGAACCGTCGCATGTTGTATATCAAACAGGTCCAAGATCTTGAGAAGCAGCTGCAAAATTCCAAACAGCAGTTACATCACCTGCAGACTAGAATGATGCGGCCGGATTGCATGGCTGATATGGATGGAGGCGTTCCGCAGACGATAATCAAGTTGCCTGAAATCGAGCACCGCCCCATGCGTCGGTCAAATGCGCCTATTCCTCGGGATTTGTCCGACGTGCGTTCCAATCTCCGCTATCATGGCCGTGACATCTTGAATGTGCCGACCCCTTACCGCGCGCGGGGTGCAGAGTCACTGGTAACGGGTGCTGCGGTGGATCTGCCGCAGAAGCACCTGGCAGACCGTCTCTTGGCGCAGTACTTTAATTGTGTCCACTCGGTGCTGCCGGTGCTTCACTGGCCTATTTTCATTTCGGAGCATGAGAAGGTTTATCGGTCGGGCTCGTTGTTGAGAGTTTCCTTTGAATGGGCGGCTGTTCTATTTGGCGTATTCGCCTGCGGTGCTATTCACACGATGGAGCCGAATAGCGAAGAGGAAGGCAATAATTACGTTCGCACATCTTGCGGAATTATCAATGTCTGGCGTGACAACTTAAACCTCGATCGAGCTCGGGCCGCTTTGCTGGCAAGCATCTTTCTCTATTCCCCTCGCCCGAATCCGCGCCAAAGGTCACGTTCCCGATCTCGATCGCGACGAAGAAACGATTTCCTACGTCTCGGGCGATATGCAAGGGACCAGCGACGGCAGTTGAGTCTGGCACGGCTCTGAGACTGGATCACAGCTTGAAGGTATGGGTTACGCCAGTCGGACCACGCCAAATTGCGCTGGCCAGCCGGAGATAGAGACGGATGTCGAGTGGGAGGGGTGGGAGTGAATTGAGAAGACTGTTCAGGGTCTACATAATGAGCAGCATCGCCAGACAAATTGTAGACAGTCGGATATTCTCAAAACACAGCCGAAACAGGATGTCTCTTCTACTCCTACCCCACAAGCGGCCTCTGATACTGACAGGCGGACGAGTTCCGCGCCTTCGTGCATGTCGATGGCTAGCATTATCTAAAACGGGTATTTCTTTACGCGCGTTTTGTTTCCCTCCTCAGGCTTTGTGATTCAGCATCGGTGGCGAGTCAGGTACCGGATCATTAAGCGACATATATTCCACCGCATTATATCCTTGATACGGCGTTCTGGTTCGGGGTTTTGCGAATACTTCGAGTACTTTGAGGCAATGCGTTTATTAGCAGAATATAGAAATGAGATGTTGCATCCTAGCTTTGGTGTATATATTGCAACTGGAGACACTGCGAAGTTCAATAATATATCAATAAAAGCCGCCGAAATCCCCATCCGGTCGATGGGGTTGACTCAGTTGCCGGTGTGAGGCCGCTTCCTGGGGTTGCTAAACTTCTTGCGCAGTGGTCCGGCACGTTTATCAATAGAGTCCTCGATCCTCTGCAGGTAGACGACGAAATCATAATAATGGGTGAAGTCCAGGTAGGTTTTGTCGGCCTCTTCGCGGACCTTATTCGACAGATGCTCGAAAAGATGGCGCATGCGGTCACGCTCTGACAAATTATTGTGGAAATGTGGCTCCCACTGCTGTATCCAATTGGAGAAATCAGTAACAGACTGGAATGGGCGTTGGTAGCTATCCATGTAGCGCGCCTTGGCCACCTCCGGATAGACTCCAATTTGGAGCTGGTGAATAAGAAAAGTGCAAAGTCTACCAAATGTAACCTGCTCACTGGGCATGTTGCGTATCTGTCGCTTCCACTCGTTCTGTAGAACAAAGGCAACGTGTTTTAGGGTCCGGGTGACTTTGCGCTCGTCGGTAATGTACCAGCTTGAATATCTGTCAAAGTGATGTTCCAGGCGCCTGGCGTAAATTTTGAATTCCCCGAGAGCGCGCCCATGGTACACTGGTATGTTCAGGACTGGTAAAGTTTGGTTGTTTGAATTGGTGGGGGCCGATTTTTTAGCTGTAGCAGGTTCCCCTAATATTTTCAAATTTGGATTGGTGGGGCCACTCAAGGTATTCTCAGGTTCAACGGGTGAAGGATTAGGCTGTGGCGTACGGAGATCGGGACTGGCAGTCTGCTCAGATGGTGCAATAAGAGCAGTGTTTGGAGCTTGGATAATACCAGCTTTGCTATACCCGTTTTGCATCGGCGTAACAAGTACCCTGTCTTGCCTATTGACGGAGTCGTTCACAGCAGGACTGACAGTGAGCGAGCGATCTTTGCTGGAGGTGGCCGCGAGCCGTTTCCGGGCCACCTCAAGCGCTACCTGTTCATCAGAGACCTGCTGCTGGAGCTCAATGAGCCGTCGCTGCCGTATGAGGTTTGCGAGCTGCGCCTGGGCCTCGCTGATTTCCGTGTCGAGTTCATCCGTGGGCTGGAACTGCGTAGGGATAGGCTCGAGGGATTCGGTCAGCCGCGCCCATGGTGCTTGAATCGGTGGAGGAGTCTCGGCGGAGGAGTCGTGATTTAGGCGCTCTTTCTCTTCCAGCGACATTATCGTACTGAGGATTCGTTTTGTTTCGAGGTTATCCCAGAAACCCGTTCTATAGTCATGTGGTGATAAGATACGACAACGAATCACGTGTATAGCTCGATGATAAGTTGATATCTAAGCATGGGTGTGGTTTAACTAACTAACGCGCAGTTGAAATCAGGCCTGGTGGGATATTGTTTAAAATAACAACCTCGGTATGGCTCATTCTATAATATACTCTCGAGCATGATATCTCACCCAATCTGTATTATTGATCGAACTGCCAAGAGACAGTCAGGTAGTCCAGGGTCCAAAGACAAGCTGAAGTTGCACAATTTTCCACAACAATCTCCAGATGGTACAATCATCAAATTGACTATAACATTTTTGTTTTCAATGAGCTGTTGGCAGCTTTTTCCCCATTTGATAATTCTGATATTGGTCAACACGTTGGTGGAGGGACGTTTGATCAAGCCTCCTGGTGAGAGACTCATTCCCAAGTGCTCAGGTCTATGAACTTGTGGACCCGAGACTACTTGGCCGGCCATCAACGGCCGTTGAATACTCGTGTGATCGCGATACAAGGGTGGGTATACTCATCACATCATGATGTCTGGTTTCAGTTTGCACAAGTCTCACTATCTTTGAGGCATTAGTCCAAAGCCTCAAACCACTACTCGGATATTCAGTAGGAAAGAAACGGTGTTCCCAGAATTTCTAGTGATACACCTGCCAATCTCAAAAAGATTTCTCATCAATCTGACTAGTTCTATCGAATTGGAGGCTGTATGCCAATTCCACCGAGTTACCAGGTTAAGGAAAAGAAATTGTTCACGGACTATGGATAATGTACATTAATACATCTATCATATGGGCAAGATGGCGAGGAAACCTTTGCCCTTCGTCCGCGAAACGTTGAACACTCCCCTCACCATCAACACACCATCAACATCAATGTCATTGCCCGCCAACGCCACCGTCATTAACCAGATCCCTATAATGTATGCTTCCTGTCTCATGAAATATTATGGGCCTGTTAATTCAACACACCGCACCGAGCATAAATATGTTCATAATTTCGTATCTGCTCACCTCAGTTTTAGGTAAACAGGTTTTTCTTTTCTAAATGAGTGCCAAAGTTGAGATCCTCAAATTTTTTGGATGATCAAGTAATGAAGACCTGTCACCCAAGGAAGACTTTCTTTGCCCAAGCTCTACGATAAACATCGCCTGTCCAGAGTGCCACAAAATCTTCAATGAAAATTCAATTTGTCGATATGGAGGCCAGCCGTTGCGATTCAAAGCCCCGACGCGCACTACAATATAAGCTAGTCCACACTAATGGCTCTGTCGACCCAAAAATCCATTTCTGCGGCAGCGGAATTCTCCTTTGCTTTATTTTCCATATAATGCGGTGCTCTTCATCAACAAGCAATGCGATCACAGCATTGGTTTCTCTGTCATCCAACCTCTTTTGTTTTGGTACTTCTGCTTTTTCCCATTACTTACTTGACTCGGGGAAGCAGCTCTCTTCTTCCTTCTTCCTGTTGGACCACATCGGAATTATTCTACACATATGGGGGACGTCCGTATCGGTCTTGCTCTTAGAAAATACTGGTAGTGGGAAAATCACTTCAGTAATTCTGGGAATCACGCTGGCCGGGATGGTCTGTGCCACCTATTTGATAACCTGGCCAAGGGAAAAGTGAGAACGAGTGCTAGTCATTGGGGTGTTTGGAGCATTGGCTTTATGCAGCGTCTCACTCTACAACGCTGTTTTCTCGAACATGTCTCGACTGACGTCATCTTACATCTTCTTGGCTCTGGTCAATGGCATTGGAGGGTGGTTCTACTCCCGTGGGTCTATCCAATTGCCGAGTCAACGTTCAAGCAAGTCATATATTGTGTCAGGGCATTATTTGATGCACCTATGCTCTCTGGTTGCGTCAATCTTTCACGCTTCATTTCTGGCTTCTTCTGTCTGTATCTGACAGACTTAAGCGCCTGGTCGCGTGAGAGCCCGATCCAGTCTGTTCCTCTGAGTCCATAGAAAGCGCGTCGTTGAAATCAGTGATGCTGGCTACTAATTCGAGTTAGAATATGATGCTGGTGGACATCAGCAACTGGGCCGCACCATCGTAGTCATTTCCGGCGTGGCCTGCACAAAGAACCAACTTAATTTTCAATCAACTTGATCATCTTGCTGTATATATGGCCCCAGCTAGTAATTCCATCTTATGTATTAACAATCAACATTCTGTTGAAATACAACAGTTCGGTACAATACCGTGGAAACAATCAAATATTTACGTTGTCGTGGCCGCCTGCGTATATTTAAAGAGCTGGAAATTTGGGTTAAGGTACAAACAAGTGTGATAATGATGCTGCGGCTTGCGTGCGAAGCTATCTCGGCCGTTTGTTATAGTAAAATGCACCTGGACTAGTAATCGAAATACTGTGGTTGTTGAGGATGAAATTAGAATTCAAAAGCACTCTTATTTAGATACTAAATTGAATGGATGTTGGCGAAGCTTTCATAATGGCATATCATAGGAAACCTTTTCCCAGTTCAAAAGCCGGCGCCGGCGCGCGTAATGATGAGGTGATGTCGGAGGATATAAGAAGCGCATTTCACCTCTGAATAGAGTGGATGGCAACTGAGATCTGGGTATCTATAATTTAACAGGTCGAAAGAGAATATCCTTCTCATGACACACGAAGACGTTTTACATCGCCTGCCTCTGTTCGACATAGTCGTCGTTTTGCTGCCCCCGGCCGCTGAAGAGCCGGTCGACGTTTCAAAGTAGAGCGGTGAAAATCGATGATCAAAGCACGCCCGAGCTCTTCACTCCAGAGGACATTGTCTCGCCTGAGGTCTTCATGTATTATCCCGAGAGCTTTGATTTCCTTGTTCGACTTGTGGATCTCGCGGCGAAGCCGTTGCGTCAGCTCCATCGTCGCAGTGCACTCACCCCCCAGCCCATTACAAGCATGTGGCGAATTTGTCCAGCGCCATGAAGAAAATATATTTTTGCCAAGTCAATCGTACCCAAGAAAACAGGCACAGCAGATCCTTGGGCCTTGCGCAGCACTCGATACACCTGCGCTTCGCGGGAAACTTCTTTCCACAACCCCGAAGTGGTGCCCTTTCCGAGAACCGTGTAACCATAATTCATGCAGCTGAGTTTGAATGGGGCGCCATATGAGCCGCAACCGCCGAAAGGTATGCAACGATCTATGTTTTCGTCCAGCTGGTTCTTCAAGGAAAGTATCATGTCCTCGGCCGATATCGAATGCTGAGTCGGGTCGGTCTGGCCCCGGCGATGATGATCCACGTTTGGACACAGCTCATCCAGATCATTCCCGGTCTGCAAACCGAGTAAACACCGCTGCGTGCAGAATTGCGCGGCGCGGCGCTGGGAATGGTCGTCTTGGTCGTGCCCTGCCTTTTGCTGGCGACCCGATCGCCGAGCGGACGGTGAAGGCGTGACCTGACTGATCCTCCGCTTATGGCCAGCTGCTTGATTTGTGTCGGAGCCGGACGAGCCAGGTGACTGCGACCGCGGTCGAATCTCCGAAGGTGCACAGCTCGTTTGAGATCGTGTAGGCATTCGATGGCCCTTTGAGGGAGCTGGTAGCGGGGACGACGATGGTAGTGTATAGGATGAACCAGAATCTGGACTCGGAAATTCGGGGTTGGTGCTATCGGAGTGGGGAAGCTGCTGTAGCTCCTTTCCTGGGATTTGTGAGCGTGTGTGGTCAAAGCTTGTTTGCCATGTATGAAGATCTGGGTGCATTCGGTTTCTCCATTCTTGCCCCCGGATAGGCGAACGGAATGCCATCAAACAAAGGCATAACACCCTGGCAACAGAGGACTTCCATAGCTGGGGAGTAATATTGCCTTCTGGGGTCATTTCGCTGTGAGGATCACAGAAAAAGTAGTAGAGCGTGCTAGGCTGGTCACGCGGAACACGGAGGAGAACACGGGTAAGCCCATTGGTCAGATATGAATATTCGAGTCCTTCCTGGATCATCACATGGTATTCTTGAACAATGGCGGAGCAGACGAGTCGCTCTGCATTGTGTTTCAACTTTTCTTTATGGTCGGTTGATATTTTATTGGATCTGACCATATCTTTCCATAGGTCCATTGGTCGAAGTCCCATGCGCAAAGTTGCAGAAGGTAGCTTGTGAGGCGGCTTGTACTCGACAGTCGTCAGAACGGTGGTCGAGTTTCCGCTGACACGGTTTATACAGAACTGGTCAGGTCGTGGTTGACTTGTGCTGGGTAGCTGGTTTGCCTCGACTTCCATGGGTTCATTCTCGTTCAGAGAATTCTTATGATTGCTGAACTGGATTCCATCTCCGAGGCTGAACTCCTCACGAGCAGCTGGCAGTTTGCAAAGCTCAGTTATAATATCGCGGACATGTTCTTCAACGCCAAACCGCTCGTAGGCCTCGAGTTCTTGCTCGCTGCTCAGTGGGTTGCGAGAAAATCGACGGCCAAGCCCTTCTAATTCCGCTACAGAAGAAAACAGACGTGGCTCCTGTCCCCGCTCCGGGTGAAGATATTGGCAGATGGACTTGTAGACCTCTGAGAGCTGTATTGGACAGTCGGTCCAATGTTCCAATCGAGTGGGGCAGTATTTTCCTTTGGGAAGAGGTATTTGTCCAGTTGTTGAGCGAGATGGTGAATCGACTCGCAGCGATCGGGAGAGAAGGACATGGCAGTGCTGAATGAGCTCAGTAAAAGTGGTCTGTCGGGTGCGCTCTTCTGCCTGCTTCTCGCGCTCTTCTGCCTGCCGCCTCCCTTCTGCTTCCTGCTTCTCACGCTCTTCTGCCTGCTTCTCGCGCTCTTCTGCCTGCCGCCTCCCTTCTGCTTCCTGCTTCTCACGCTCTTCTGCCTGCTTCCGTCTCTCTTCCGCCTGCAGATACAGAGTCTTATAATCCTGGAAACTGGGATCAGCCATCAGTTCGTAGAGCAGAAAAGAGCGATACCTTGGGATAACTTTAACATCCCCAGGTCCCGATCGGCGGCTAGTTCTCCTGGCTGATGTCAGCTGATCCCGGCCTCGGCAAAAGTATTCACCCGAAACGAACTTGACTTGCCGATTTCCGGGTAACGACAGACGATGCCGATAACGCTTCCTGCGGCTCACTAGTTCCTCGGATCCTCAAGATTCAAAATGCCAGAAGATTCCACGACACAGTAGGCAAACTTCTCGAACCGATTATGTTGATGGTGCGATGACCATCGTATATCGCCGAAAAACGCGGCCTGCTACCGGGCACTCAATTTTGATCTGGACGGTATAAGAAATGATGGATACAGTGCCTGTTCTAAGTGAGACTTGTTGAAAGACATGTATCTATTTTTGGACCCCATATTCGGGCTTGGTTGCTGGCCTCAAGGCGGGGTGAAGCTCAAATCCCTACATAATTGTTGCAAAACCCCGCAAGTCCAGCCGAATGCAGCTCAGGGCCAGGGCCGCATCTATTGCTAGATGCTGTATCAATTCACTGCCATCGGCTGATATTAAGGGTAGAAGATATCGAAAGGATAGGAAGGGGTGTATATTCTTATGTATCTCTACACCCACGCCATCGCGTCCCGGTCAAATATTCTTCCATGAGGTGCGGTGATGTGGCTATGTACAGCAACCAATCCAGTCCATGAATACTCGACACAAGTTTTTGAAGAGGCAGCAGACTCTGGGAGCTCAGGTTGACTTCAGACAGCTTTTCCGGACGCGTTTCGTTATTCTTTTTCTAACGGTCATCTGGCTGGCCCATGCTAGTCTCAGTTCGTGCACGCTTTGCGGTCGGTCTGCCAAACCGCGCAGAATTTGATCTCGCCACCTTGAGCGCCCGTATTTGGACATCACATTTCAAACCCTCATGCGGACAACGTGCTCGTGCGCATGTTGATTGTGGCCCTTACCTCGGTTTGTTTTTCATTTTCGGGTTTGCCCTTGTAATCTACCCGAAGTGGCTACAAGAGAACTGCAACGTTCCACCTTACCAAAGTTGCATTCAAATCGCCGTTGGATGGATACTTCTCTCGTCAGGGGGTCATGTTGCCAGTCAGGTCCACGGTGTTCAAAAGATCATTTGATATATTTGAACGGCTCATTTTCATACTACAAGAATATTTATTATGGAGCCGTTGGCCAGGCCGCCTCCGGTTCTTGATTTCCATGACACATCATGTCTCTCGTGCATCTTGCCTTGTGTATGTGGCTTGCTTGATCACCAGCAGAGCACGCGCACCGAGCTAAAAAAAACATTTAAAGTAGCGGCTCCAACTACCTCTTAGAATAGGGCTGTGAGGAACGAGTCAGCGGGAATTACGAATAAGAGGAATCGCATTGGGTGATAATTCACAAAGAATAATGCAACGACTTGACCATCTTATCGTAGGCCAGCAATATCGGAGGCTGGAGCTTTCCCGACCACCAGCTAGTTCATCAATGCCGTTCGTCGGGCCTCCCAGGCTCGCTTTGCCCGGACCTCAAGAAATACACAACCCGACGCAGTAGCTAGAGCGTTCTAAAAGTCTCACTTTTTGAGATCCCCTGCCGATAGCGCAGGACGCTAAAAGTCGCGTTTTTCGTTTGGGATCGAGCCCTCTCTATCAGAGTCTGGATTGAGCGTTATCAAACTATGCTGGAATATACATGACTGAAGAAATACACAACTTGATAGGTAGGTATAATTTAAAATGTATTATCCATTGTGTATTAGGTGCAAAGCTCAATGTCCCACCTCACTCTCCGCGATACTTCAAAGCTCTGTGGGGATGCTTCATTTGCTACGTCGCATCTAGACCACTAGATTCAATGCTTTCAGCAGTCGTGTTCCAAAGAAATCGGACTAGCCGCTCCACACTTAAAGAGCTGTTCTGACGACAGAAAGTACATACACACATAGTTGAAACGCTTATGACGAGTAAAAAGACCGAGTCAGCCGTATGTTCCTGCATTGTTACACCCATAAACAAACCTCGCCGGGAAGGATGATGTCGCTTCTCAAACCTTCCAACTAGCGTCAACAACCAAACCCCCACCCATCACAGCATGGCGCGAAACATTGATTGCTGGCAGGGTGAAGTCATTGTTCATAGTAAATACACAGTAAATATAGATCTAGCTCATCGGAAATGGCCAAGGTGGTGCTGAAGTGCAGTGAACGTACGGCACAATCGACAGGGGTGTCACGAAGATCGCGACTTTTAGCGTACAGCACTACCGACAGTATCTTTGAAGATGTTTAGATCTAAGACAATAGTCATGGAACCAAATTGGACCTTCCCATTTTCTAGCAGATAAGTGCCAGACGGTATCATCAAGTAGTGCTTAGACATATCCATGTTGATCGACGGCGATCAGAGGTACGTTTTTGGATAACGCTTTACCCCACCTCCATCAAGCACGCTAGTCTTAATTGAACACACAATCAATGAGACAGTAGCCCTAACAAGCGGCAAAAACAAGATAAAGTCGCTTCCTAACGATCTAGACCTTCGATCATACTCCATTCTGCCAGCCTTTCAAGGTGTCTGTAGCCTAGTGCGTGCGCTTCGGCTCCAGTGCCAAGAGCTTGCGCAATAGAAGACCAAACTTCTCGGTTGCCTCCGGATTAGACCTCGCCAAAAACATTTAGAGGGCGAGCATCGCCCGCCCTCCGCCCGACCCGTGAGGGCAGAGGGCAGGTAAGAGCCCGCCCTCGCCCGGCCCTCAGCCCTCGCGAGGGCCGCCGTCATCAGCCCTCATCCGCCCTCATTTACATAAAATTTTGCGACCTTTCCTAACTGAGCTGTATAATTCTGCTGATTCACCCTCATAGATTACCGTTTTTGAACAGTGTTTTTGTTTTAATAGTAGGTTTACTAGATATTTTCATACATGCGCTTAGAAATTCGAGGGAATTCACTTCTATTTTGATGAACCATAGCAGGTGATAGTATAATTACAGAATTATCATATGTTGAGATGTAGTGGTAGTTTATTGTTATAGAAATCTATAATTCTGTAGTCTCAGTATCAAGAAATATATGTAGGCAGGTGATGCATAAACTACATCTAACAACCACCATATTAATTCTTGACGTTCCCCTCTTAGTAGGTTCATTATATTAATACTAGTAGATATTAGGCTTCTTACTATTGTTCTATATAATGAAAGGGCTTTATGGCTTTATCAGAGATGAGTATGACTTTGACGTTTAAAATATGAAAGAATTCTGGTTGATTTCACACTAGGTTCGGGGGCATTTGACTCAGCGAGAAAACGAGGGCCGATCTCCGATTTGAGGGCGGCCCGCATAATTCGAGGGCTCATTCGAGGGCCGCCCTCGACCAGCCCTCGGAATTGAACCAATCAGGAGAGGATCCCTATAATAAATGGGTCTAAATGTGATACATTACATTGATAGAGAGAGTAGGCCTAATTTGAAAGGAACATTGAATCTGTTTGTTAGCACAGGTGGACTTTTTAGTACAAAGTAGGTCTCATCCAACCCTCTAAGTCCTATCTATCTTCTAGATCTACGCAGTACGAAGGACCATTCAATTAACAATGTCCCAGTTATCTCTATTCTCGGATGCCTACCCATCATCTCTTTACGAAGGGGATACAATTGACGGTCTCTCCTTTCCGAACGACCAATTCCATAATCCTGTTCTCTCAGGAAGCCAGCAAACAAGTGACTCAGTATCGAATCCCGGGTTTCTTACGCCGATTCCTCCCCCTTCGGTACCTCCTTCACTCGAGCGCGTTGGCCCTGGTCGATCCATTGAATTCGTTCTATACTCTGATATGTCAAAGGATGAATTTGTCGCTTGGTGGTTAGAAACTGAATTTGGACGCAAGAAACGGCTTCATTGGAGTGGCAACCGTACACCAGCTTGCTGGCAGCACTTCGATCAAGTTGCTAATGCAAAGACTGGAAAACCAGGCGCGAAATGCCGTCAATGCCATAAAGTCCTAGACCATCCAGCGAATGGGCGATATGGAACAACTGCACTTCATCGGCATTTAGCTGGACCATTCAGACCGGAGTCATTTGTTGACTCATAGAAGACGATGTTCGGAAAATATCTTATGTTTTTTGAAGGATGCTTTTTTAAAGAGTGATGACGTATTGCTCTGATCACTCGCCGGAAGTCCTGCCACGCCACCTCGACTTAATGCATCATCTACTCGGTTCTTGCTTTAGATTATTGATCTCCATTATGGATTTGCATAAACTTCTCGACAATGCTTCCTCGCCCACAGCGTATATTCGACCCGATCAACAACATCCGCGGCAATCGCCTTGGTCTTCTACAGTCGAGGCTAACATGCTGCCCTCCTTTTCGACGTTAGCGAAAAGCGTTGACCATGCAACAAACGATGATAGTCAGTGCATCTTGAATAGATACTTCGCAATACTGATTCACTCACAGTATATATTCAGGAGATCGATCCGTTCAAGCAGCATCATGTCACCGTGACGCCCCCCACGTGCCCATCTGTGACCATCGTCAATCAAATCATTCACATGCCAGCTTCAGCCAGAAAATGAGATTTCCAATAGACCCCCAGGGCGCCAACTCGATATTTTGCTATCCGCACCATTCTACCCCCAATGTCTACCCAGGTTGTTTTGAAGCACATGATCAGGGATTCTTCGCCTCGTCGTCAGCGCCCAGCATGAATTCCTACTCTTCACTCATCTATTTTCTTTCTCCTCCTGCTACTAATTATGCAAGCAATTACATTTGCATACCGAACAAGATCATGTTCCGTGATCCCACATCACATTACTATTCGTTTCAGCCAGACCCTATCGGGCACACACACAAAGTTTGGGGCCATCAGCAACTAGTTGAATCTCCACCTTTGATACAAAAAGCCAGCCAGCCCGGATATCATAAACGTGTCTTCCCGCGAGGTATCCGTGCAATGCACAAGAACAACAATCAATATGAATGTAGATCTTGCAACCGGTTCTTTTCGCGCCCCTCAACACTCAACATCCACTTCCGTTCTCACACGGGCGAGAAGCCCTTCCACTGTCCTAACATTGGATGCAACAGGGCATTCTCTGTGCTGAGCAATATGAAACGCCATACAAGTGACTGCCCGAAGACTGCTAAGCACTAGCAGTGCCAATAAAATCCCACCATGGCCTCTGAGAAGATTCATTCAGTAAAACCGGTCCCTTCCATTTCCACCTCAAGGCGAACCTGTAAGCCCCGATTCGCGCGGTCATGGGAAAACTTTCCGGCAAGTGGTCCCACTGACTTTCCACCGCACCGATATTTCCATGCGCTATAGCTCCTGTCAGGGATATACATGAAATATACAGGAAGGATGGAAATATGATGTACGCGGGACCCAAATGATGTTTACGGTTTCCCCTCCACGCGAGGAAGCTACCTTTCTTTTGCTTCCTCGCGCTATGTCTCGTACTTAGAGTCGACTATATCTTTCTTCAATAGTCATTACTCATCTAAATGCTCTGTCTTCATTTACGGACACGTGAAACCCTTCTAGGGATATCTCTAATCTCTAGAAATTTTAAATCTACTGCTGGTGTGAATAATGACATCGCAAAATGATTTCGAATTCGAATGTACACTTCAAAGCTCTTTTCGAATTCGAATAGGGAAATTCCTCATTCGAATCCACCCCTAAAGCTAGTGAAATCTTCGGGCAGCGACAGAGGCTCAGGTGAATGGACTCGCGCTCCGCCTGCAATGGCTACCGGGACACTGTGGTACAGTAATACAGGAACCGACGCAGCAAATTGGCTAACTAGATACGCCGCGTGCGTAGGCAGAACACAGCCCCTTCTGCCTCGTACTCACGAGGGAAACAGGCAGTGGTCTGAAACAAGATTGTTACCCAGTGTAAGCAAGCACGGATTTCCGCCACCAAGGGTAGCCATCCGCAAAGATTTGACAACACACTGCCGGCCACCTACATGAGAAGGTTATACATTATCGTACAAACTAATCGTACAAACAAAAGTCAAAAGAAAGTCGTTGCGGACGTCGGGTCCGACGCAGGGAAAACCACTTAGACCGCGGCTTGGCTCCGTTCTCTCGAGCTCAAGTCACGTTTCATTTCCCCGTTGGTAGCATAGCCGCCGTGCCAAAGAGCCTGTTTGACAGTGATGGAGCTGGGGAGATTCTTGAGATCAGGCCTGAGGCATTTCATTCTTGCGGCACGCCACCGACGCGCGTGTCGTCCTACCCGGGCCTTGCGGGGTTTAACTAGCTTCGTGTCTGTAGAATATTCATCGGAGATGTCTTCTGGCTCGGCCCTCGCGTCTTTGGACTTTCTTGCATTATTGATGGTTCTTTGCACTGGGGTTACGGGAGTGCGTATAAGCGGTGGCCCGACGGGTAGCGACCGGGGAGCGGAATGCACTCCGCTAACATGATAAGGTTCTGACGGCGGTGGGGGAGGCACTCTGTGCCCAGCGAATCTCTTTTCTGTCATGAAGACCCGGCGAAGTTGATTGCGCTGGTCAGTATATTTTTCGAAGTTCGCTGCAATGATCGGCCCCAGAATGCTCTTGCTCGGGCCTCGGACGAGTGCGAGGTGTTCCATACGATTCTTCAGGGTAGTATGGGCACTAGCGAAGGTGCCAAGAATCAGGTTGATCGCCCTTGCACCGCCAGAGATATCGTTGTCCGCATTGTTTGGATCTTCAATAGTGAGACGATCGGGGTTTCCAAATGATTTCTGTTGTGGTACATGAGTCAGCTAGTGCACAATTGTACCGTTTCAACCCATCCCACCTTGCTGAAATATCCCGGAGGATCCAAACATATTGCTACCTGGTTGTATTGAAACTTATTTCCGTAGAAATTGAAGAACTCCATGAGAATGCTGCCAGCGTTGAGCTGCATATGTCCCTTTGGCAGATGCTGGAGTAGACTTGTGACCAAGCAAGTGACGGAGAAGCCTCCCAGTCCACCAGTCCGGACTTCATTGAGGCCACGGATCAGCAAAAACTGCTTGACAACTAACAGAATAGCGGGCATTATGGGGAACCGCTCTTTCCATGTTTGGAACGTCTCGTTGGCGATCAACCCACTGTTGTTGTCAAAGGACAGATCAACACGCAGCCCAGTCACCCGGTCTACGAACTTCAGGATCGGTACCCGAGCATGGGCAACGCACTCGATCGAATCAGGAACAGCAATATTGGTACTTTCCAGGAAGTCCGAAATTGCGTTTATTTTTCCTTTCCTCTCACCAAATGAACACATTCCTGTGCGTCTGAATTTGTCGGACAGTAGCACCAGATCAATATCCGCGATAGGCAGATAGATACCAGAGGCGAAAGAGCCAAAGGTATGGATTTCAATGCCAGCATATCGAGTTTGGAATGCAGTACTCAATCGTTCGACGAGATCTCTGCGGACAATGTTCTCAAATTCCTGTGGCTTGGCCCAGTCATAAAAGCTGAGAATTTCGCGATCTAATCTACTGCGGGTTTAGAAAAGAATAGCGATCAGAAGGACAGGGGAAATACTAACTGAAATTCTATTTGCAAGGAAGACGGAGTAGACTCAAGCCAAGGCGTACCCGTCTCTTGAGACGGTGGTCTCCACTCCTTGATAACTGAACCGTCGCAGTTGTACTTGCTTGCAGGCTTGCTGGTCTTCTTAATATGGCGTTTGATCGCACCCCTCCGGATTCGTTTTCGACTCGGATCGGCAGAATACACAATTTCCTCGCTTGTTGGCCCTTTGGCGGTCTTCTCGGGAGCGTTGCTCTGATGCTCTGATTCTGGATTCATGCCGAGGGAAATTAAATCTAAGTTCTCCCTAAGTTCACCTGTCTCATCTGCCTTCGCCGTATCGTCAAGTCTTGCTTTGCGAATCAGCTTGACAACATCGAGCCTTTGATTCGTTTGTCTGCTTGGTAGGGGTATCGCAGAGTAAGGGTCCGGGTTGGACCAGCAAGAGCGCTCCCTGGAAAATCACAAAACCCACTTAATTCTTGTCAGCTCGAGGTAATATCTTTGGTTCCAATTTTCAAATGGATTCGGTTAGGTGGGTGGTCGAAGGCAGAGTGATTCGTAGAGTAGAATCTGAGGCACATGATTTATCTTCGAACCACTCCCTAGTCATGTTTGACGAGAAGCAAAGGTTTTCCGAATCAGCCCAAGACTGGCAGATTCAAGTCATGAGGAAAATCTTTTTTCACACAGACCGTGGAATCGCGAGTGGGACCGTCGATCAGTAGCCGAATCCCGAATCAATTCTCAACTGAGTTTCGAAAAACCATGGAAAGGCTCTCGGTGAGAGAATGCGGTTGTTAGAAGGATGCAAGTTTGAACTTAATCGAAAGCTTATCTATAGGCTTCTGCTCCGCTTGCTTGTTGGATTCGCGTGATTGAATCTGTCCCAGAGTCCGAGAATTCAGAGGGAAAATCGGGTACTCTCTCCAAGATCTCACGCAGGCGAAGTATAGTATATTGTAGAAGGAAACAACATCATTCGTAAATATTCTCGGTCGCCAGAGTAATGGTCAAGATGCACTGGGTGCTTGAAATAAACTTTGTGGGTTGGCCGGGACCAGTCGGTTTCTCGGCCCCTAATGCACAAAGTGGAGACTTTGTTTAGATCTACGATCTTGTCCTTACACAATTGACATTGATTTCAAAAACTATCTGCTAGAGTTGGCAGACTGGCCATCGAGTTGGAGCAGATAGGGAGAGGATGGGTCGGGCTCAAAGAGAGTATACTTTCTGCGAGGAAGGTGCAGGACAGAAGGAATAGCTTCTAGAACGTTCCCTAGGCCAGATAGAGAAAGCAGCAGCTTCCCACTCGACGGAGGACCAATCACTCTCTTGCGAGGGCAACTGAACCGCGGATCAGATCTCTGTTGCCAAAACTCTGTGTGATATTCCAATTACTCTCCTGCCCAGCTATACCTCCTAAGTAACAAAGACCGCTGTTCCATCGGGCCCTAACGGCCGTCAGGTTTGGGTTTGTGGATCGTGTCTGGACCCTTGCAGATCCTTCCGATTTCTTCTGCGGGCCCACAAATAGAACCTCCGTGATCTACTGTCCCGTGGGTCGTCCCTGGGATCTGCGTCGCGGAACCGTACCTGCGTCTGTCTAAATTCAGGCGCGGTGTTTGATTGGTCCGTTGGGTGCTATTTGTGTCCAGGGCCTCGTCGATGTGACAGTAGCGCTGCAATCTCTCGAGGAATCTCGCGAGGTGGGTGGCGATCACGAGGACCTAGCTTGTGAGCCATGGTAGCTGAAATAACTCACTTTATTGTCCTGGAAACTGGACTCGGGTTTATTCTAGGTTTCCAACAAGGTCTAGAATTTGATTATCTATCAAAGGAAAACAACCGATACCCTGGATTTGGGAGTATGTGCATAGTGTCTGTACCGACAGTTAGCAGAAGTATTAGGGGAGGCAACATCAGTTGGTTGCGAGCAACAAAGAAAGTACCGTTCGAGTAGCGCGAAACTAGAAATAAGCAGAGGATTGTAGTGGGATCAGTGGGAGGCACGTCCTATGGCCAACAGCCGGTACAATCGAATG